TATATATGTGTGTGTGTGTATATATATATATATATATATATATATATATATATATATATATCTATATATATGCTGATTTACTGCTCAAAACATTTCTTATTATCAGTGTTGAAAACAGTTGTGCTGCTTAATAATTTTGTTACCAAGAAAATTACCAAGAAACATTTTTTTTCAGGATGATTTGAAGAATAGAAAGTTCAAAAGAACAGCATTCATTTTTAGTTTTTTGTAACAATGTAGAAGTCACTTTACTGTCACTATAAATCAATTTAATATGTTCTTGCTGAATAAAAGTATTAATAAAAAATATATATTAATGGCAATATTGTCCTCTTTTGTGAACTTTTCCTCTTTAAGGATGCAAGTTTATGGATGCTTTTTCTAGGATATGGTTCCAGCTACTAATTTTTATGTTCACTTTCATAAAAATTTCCAATAAATGCTTCTTCGAAGCTTGATGCCACATCCACTGTGTCTGTTTTGGCTCACCCTGCCACAGAGACACTTTATCTCATGCTGCTCTCAGCTAGTTTGAAATGACATGTCACTTCAGGGCCTCGGGACAGTAAGAACAACCTGCTTAGAAGGTCTTGATTGCTGTGCGGTGGCTGACAGTGCTGGATGAAAGCATGGCAGAAACCTGATTCCTCGAGTGGAATCACTGATCGAGACACTAGTTTCCCAGCCAATCAGACTGAACCTGAGCATGTCACATTGGAAGTTCTTTGTTCATATGTGACAGTGACTTTGCAGCAAGTTATTGGCTGCATCCTAATTTCCATTAGGGGTGTAATGGTACATGTATTTGTCCCAAACGTATACCTCTGATCTGCAGGCGCTTCTCCAGCACGTGCTTAGCAACATCATATGACCCCTTTAAGTTTTTTAATATGCTTTTATATTGCAATAATTTCACATTCAATCTTCAAATTAACGTAGAAACAACATAAAGACAGTATATTTTTAATATTAGTTTAATGGCATCTTTTTTATGACTGAAGTCGAGTATCAGTGATACCTATACTACTGATGTCTCTATGAATTTTTTTTTTGTCCTAATACTTAACCATTGACTAGCCATTCAACATTACAGTATAATTGAGAGCTATAAATTTGAACATTTATTAGACTTTTAAAAAATAACACTCAATTTAAGTGAAATTAAATCAATCTTCACATATATACCCAATATAATAAATGTCATATTTACCTGTAGGGGTGCTCCGATTGATCGGCTACCGATCACTATCGGCCGATAATCACGTTGGGTCTGACCCCCCTAAAGAAGACTTGATCGCCCCCTGATGGACGTCAAAACTAGATGTAGAGGGGGTCAGATAGAAATACGGCTAGCCTACGTGTAATATGGAGATTTACTTGTAAATATTAATACGCATAATATGGAGATTTACTTGTAAATATTAATATGCATTTCTATGGCCCTGGCTGATTTTAAAATGTCATTTTGGCAGCCCCTGAAATGGGTCGTATTGACTTTACCTGAGCGGTTGAAGAATACGCTACAGCGCTCATTCAAATTTGTGCATTTATTGCTTGGACGGAGCAAGAACACCTAAAATGCATGTGTAGATTCAGTCGAGTGATAAAGTTTACCCTCTTCAAATAAATGCTGTTGAACTGAATTTATGGAGCAAACTGTTTGCTAAAATAACCATTAACAGCAATACAGCAGTTCTGAAAGCTTAATGTGTTGCTATAACAAACACTGCGTGTTTTCTTTCAGAATCATCATTGGCTGGTAGAAATACAAAAATAGGTTACATAACAGTTTTTACGTAAAAATGAAGATAAGGTAAAGGTATGAATAATTACATTTTAGACACATTGTCAGTAATTTCACTAATGAAAATAAAGCCCTAGGAGAACTGTTGTGCGTCTTTGATCAACACACAGCGGGTTTTCATTAATGAATCCATGTTTTTAAACGAATCGAGTGAATCAATGATTCAGTGAACCATTCATAAAGGCAGTCACTTGCTTCGTTTCTGAATGAATGAGCTGTTTGAACGAATCGTTTGAATGAATTATTGAATGACTCACTGACTTAAGACAGGTATTTGCCACCACCTACTGGCGCTTTTAGTTGTATATAGAGTATGTTTTTAAAAAAAATAATATTTCACTATTTATTTGTATTTTTGTATGTTGAATTAAAATATTTCTATCTAAAGCTACTTATATTTCAGCTACTTTTCTGTAATGTCTATTCAGTGTTTTTTTTTTCTAAATGAACACAATGATAACTATTATCTTTAATAATAACTTTATTTACATTGTCATCCCGTAGACTTAAGCATTGGTACTTATTTATATATAAAATCATTTTAGGTTTTCTTCCTTCGTATTTACAGCAGAATATCTTACAAAAAGGTGTACAGAATTATGGTCTTCGCTCACAAGACTATTACCTTTTAAGCATCCCTAATGTTCATACTAATATGGGTCATCTTTAATCGGCACATGATGTGCATGTTAATTAATAATCTCATTAATTTGAGATTAATTTGATTAATTGGTACATTAAGTGATTAATTTGATTTTTTTTAAATAAGCACTTGACAGCCCTATTTAAAACATAAAAAATACCAGTGCTCTGACTCCCCCGATGGTCACTGTGTAATTTGCACCCTGTCTATAAGTGAGCTGCATTTTCATTCTCGCCAGTGTTTAAACCATTCAGCGCTCATGCACACTTGCAGCGCACACATATAACGCCAGGTTCACATTACTCCGTTTGCAGTGCATATGTGTTGTGTATATTTTTTCCGCGCTCATGTTAACGGATTAATAAAACGTTCATACTGTACACAGTTGCGGTCCATCAGTGCGTTCCATGAGCGGTGCGTCTGCAACAGTGCAGAGATCGTTTCCGCACCGAGTCTATTTTTGCTGCACTGTCAGTAGCGGACTCCTGTGTGAAAGCAGGCAGTGCTGCTTCCCCTCTCACAAGAGTCACCTAAGAGGGGAATTCACCCCATTTTCAAGAATGAAATTCAGGCCCAGAATAAATGTCTAAAAATCCTGATTGTGGAGCATCACTATAAATAGTTATAAATTATAAAAAGAAGGCTTTAAAAAGATCGGTATTGGTGATCGGTATCGGCAGATGCTGCTTTCTGTGATCGGCGATCGGCCTCAAAAATCCTGATCGGAGCATCCCTATTTACCTGTGCCCTTCAGCAAGTAGGAAATATACAGAAATTGAAGAAAGTTATCAAACACTAAATTCTAAATTAAATATAGATGAATCCTTAAAGCTACAAAAGTTATTGAATTCCTCTTCTTTTTTTTCTTTTGTTCTTTGATTAACAGACATTGACACAACAGATGAGTTATTAGGTTATTTTGGCTGCTTTAAGAGCTGCAGCTGCAGAACATGACGTGGATCTGACACACATCGTATTTTCACACAACTCTTTACCTTTTCTGACTCACTTCAGGTCTTAAAGTCTCTACTAATGAGCTGACGAGTTGAATCGGGTGTGTTAGATGAGGGAGACTGGAGTGCTGGGGTGCTCCAGGACAGTTTTGAAAACCATTTCAGAGACATGTTCTTAAATGTAACTCATGTAACAAATACTTGTTAGTTGTGAGTGGGGTGGCCAACCCTAGCTCCGCCTCTGTGTTAATTAAATTAAATATTTTTAACACGTTAAACTGAAAAATTCATTGCATGCGTTAACGTGCTAATTTTGGCAGCACTAATTTATTATCATCAACCACAGACTGATGATGAAGATTTTTTTTTTTTTTTTTAAGTAGGAATGACCAAATATTAGCAGTGGAGAAGGATGACTTGTTTGTGTTGAGTGAAGGAGAGGTTGTGTCTGAAACCAAAGGCTGCTAGCATGTGCCTCATTGCCTAGTCAGTCGGTAGAAGGAAATGAGGTACGTCCTACGGTTGGCTTCTAAAGTAACAAATTCAAGTGAGCTTTAGAGAATATTTAATAACTCCAGTGCTTTTTTTTTCTTTGTAGAAATAGAATGTAAATGCAAAATAGCTCATTCAATTGTGCTATGAAATGACACCTTTCAACCTTTAAACCAACTCCTAAAGTTTAATTTTGTGCCAAAATTGACAGTGCATTCAAAAATTGACCAGGTGGACGAATCTTAGTATGTAAGATGTAACATTTAACTGGTGAGCACCAAAAGCATGCTTTTCCACACCTTTGCAGATTGTAAGTTAAAGGGGTCCTATTATGCTTTTTCACTTTTTCAACTTTAGTTAGTCTGTAACAAGGAGCGCGGAATGAACCAAAGGGGGGGGTTGGGTTTTGGGGGATTGGGTTGCACAACTAATTTTAATATTAAAAACAGTAGTAATATTACCTATAAAAAAATACATATATTACCTACTAATGGTATTAGTTAGTTTCCACATATATTAGCCTATGCATTTTTAAGCTATGATTCTCCCACGATTCTGAAAACGAAACAGACAACCAAACAAAATATGTAATTTACTTGAGTTTCTGACTAAATGTTTTATTAATGTTATAGTAAATGAGTCTATTTAAAAGATTTATTAATTTAAATGAATTAGCCTAATTATGTAAAAAAAATCATTTTAAATAAATGAAGATAAATGAAGATAAATGAAGACTTGTTTCGTTTTGAAACCCTTGAATGAATGATTTAGACATCAAATACATTTAACTCTCACTGTTCGCCACCTACTGGAATAATGTAACATATACAATCATTATTTGCAGCGTATCATACTTTCGAAGACCCATTTTGATCACGGCTCCCGCGATCGCAACATCAGAGTCTACATCCGGACTTTAAACTTTTATCAATACTTTCGTTATTATTTAATGTTTGCAACACAGAAATGTAGCCTACTGTGTAAGTAGACTGTTTGTGAAGCTGTTTCAAACAAAGCTTTACATGATGAGCGCTGCTCTCTCTGGATCAGCGGCTGCGCAAAAGCAGGTTTAAATATTCCGATGTGATTGTGATTTCAAAGGTTT